TTAAAGATATTCATGACACGAATCCACATTTTAACACAATTTGCCAGGAGGTAAATATAGCATCTATGAATACGCCCACATCGGCAAACAATATTCTGAGTAGTAACTTTTACTAGAAACTGAATTCAATATGTAAATATTCATAATGATCGCAAGGTCGAAGTGCCAGCATCATAAGGATGGATGGATGGATGGTCAGACAGTTGGTGGAAGTAATATTATTAATTCGTATGAACCATAACATGCAGAGCGCAACTGTATAAATACATACCTAACTCGCTTAACTTGATCATCTACTTCTAAAACAGCAGGCCTCAGTAAATCTAAAAGCCCGTCAGCGAGGTCGTCTCTTGTTATTTTCGTGTCTAGGCTTTGAACAGAGCTCGGACTACTTCCTACACTACTCGCTTCCGCCATTTTGGTTTCAGAGATATCAGTTTGATCTTTGACATGTGCAGCTTGTGAAACCACCAGATGGGGATATTTTTCTTTCAATAACACGAAAATTAAATTTATCTAAAAAAAACTAGCTAATAAACAACGAATGAAAATGATTGTACCATTTTATAGTAAAAAGAATATTGTCACTTAGTCGTGATTTAACAAAATGGCGTCCCCCAGTGCGACAAGCATTTTGCATAGCGGATATTTTCACAGCGTTTTACGGTCATGGCAAAGTTCAGAGACGTCATTCGACAGCTCAAATCTCATTTACCCTTTATTTATCACGTATGTGTTTAACTTGGGAAGGTGGCAGCTCGTACATTTTAATATCACGACTTTTCCATTCAGGGGCCGGTCTTCCAAATTTGTCATTCGCGTGGCGTTGGTGGACACGCCCACTTTTAAATTAAACAAGCAAAGAAAGCCAGACTTGAATTGGCTGACAAAATGAAACCTAGCGTATATACCTCAGAAAATTGAACTTTGTTATTTCTGTTTGTTCGATTATAATTTGCAAGGTGCACTTTGAGTGCACTGAAACAAAATCACTTGCCCGCGAGTAATACATTATTATACGTATCATTGAATTGAGTATCCGATATTACAAGATGTCAGAAATTAGAATTGATGTAATAGTTCACCTTGGTTTACTACTTAGTAATAAGTTATTTAACAAGTAATTTTTCATGTATTATTATAATATTAATTTGATTCCATCTTTAGAAATATTTTACTTGCATATTAAAAATGTGCTTTTCATAGAGCAACTTTGGTAAAACTATGATAACAATATTATGATTGTGTGGAATAAACAACGATGACCATTTTGTATTTTTATTGTATATGGATGGAATTTAAAATTTTTTTTGATGCTGATTTGCTATTGTTTTGTTGTAGGGATGAAGCTAATGCTATAGAACCGATTGGTAGTCTACCAGAGCAGTCCAGATATGGGGTAGAACGCTTAGAAGAAACGCTGCGACCTCTAGTGAAGAAAGGACTGAAAAGTGTACTGCTATTTGGTGTGCCTTCAAAACTACCAAAGGTAAAATTTAACTTATTTTTGGATACTGAGCTATTTTCTTAGTAATGTTATTTTTTTATGTTTTCACTCAGATAATTTCAAAGTTCAATGCCGTGATTATATGGTTTATTTGATGTGGCATCATTCTTTTTCAGGATGAGAGAGGTAGCCATGCCGACAGCGATGACACGCCTGTTATATTTGCCATTAAAAAACTACGAAGCCAATTTCCTGATTTACTGATAATATGCGATGTGTGTTTGTGTCCGTACACTAGTCATGGACATTGCGGTGAGTCTAATTAGGTGTTCAGAACAAAAGAGCTGTTTTAAATTTAGAATACATGGTTAAGGTCTAAATAAAAATTACGTTTCTGATCACCAAAAAAAGTGCAAGCCAATGTTTTTTTTTTCACTTATTCCACCACTGTACGGCACCCTATGTTGACAAAATGATGAAAACTCACTGCCCCATCTTTGAAAAACACATTGATCAGAAATATTTTTTTTATGAAATTGAGATTCATGTTCTCCTAAAACTTTAAAAAGAGCGCCCTCATCACACACTAAGTAAATTTCTTTGTTTTTATCAGCTTTCCATTTTGTATTCATTCATTCATTCACTTATAGCTTTTGATAGAAATTTGCCTGATCTCAACTTGTAGCTGTAACTAAAAATAAAATTTTTTTTGTGGAGTCAGGTTTGTTTGTTTTTATTTTTAGAGGACGCTTATGCACATAATCATTCAATATTTGGAATTTTCATTTCCTAATATGGTAGGATGAAAATACCTCATAAAATACCGCAAAATTACGGCACGCTGTAACTTATGGCATTACAGTGACAGATGTATAATAATAACAAAAATGTGCGTATGGAATAAGTGGATTTATAGGGTTTTCACCACCAGTTCTCTTTCTTTTCATCAAAAATTCACAAAATAGTCTCATTTATAGACTGCACTTTCCTTTTTTGAGTAAAAACAAAAAAATTACTCAAATTTTGTCTGTTAGGTCTAAAATTAGGGTTCATTTCCAGAAATATTTAAGATTAAAGAAAAAAGTGCTGTCAAAGTTGAGTGAGAAAATCTGGTGGTGAAAAGATTAACTTATGAATTAAGATTGAACATAATTCATAATAATAATTTTATTTGACTAATGTAGGTATTTTATATGAAGATGGCACAATTAACAATACAGCAAGTATACAGCGACTAGCTGAGGTTTCCTTGGCCTATGCAAAGGCTGGTAAGTCTTGTGGGACTCATTCTAAATCATTCATAGAAGCTATATTAATTAATATTTATTTATTTATTATTTATCTGTGAAGTATTCAAAATAGCAATGTAGTGTAATAAACTTTATTTTAGCTGGAATTAATTTTTGGGTGTTTTGTATGGAATTTATTTTCACTGATTTTTGATGAGTTTAATGTGAGATATAGGAAAAAAAGGTAAAAAAATAGCAAAAATAAATTCCAAGCGGAAATAAAGTATTTTAGAGTAATTCAAATGTCTCACCTCTCATCTACAACAATGCCGCCATTTTGAATTGAAAATTTGTTATTACATGCAACTTATAAGGGTGAGGTTTATAATTCAAAAAACAAATTTGGGTATCTCCAGTTTTTTCTATTTTTTGATTTTCAAATAAATACATTTTCACACAAAATTGTAATGACTGGCATAACATTTTTTATTAGGTTGTCAAGTTATAGCGCCCTCAGACATGATGGATGGGAGAATTGCTGCAATAAAGCAAATATTATTGGCCAATGACCTTGGTAGTAAGGTGAGTAAACTAAATGGAAGCTTATGTTGTTACGCTGTCTGTGCGTCTCTCGACATCTGTGTGGCCTCTGGACCTTGTGCCACTGACATCTCAAAATCCAAATTATGTTAAAATTCTGATAAATTATTGATTATTTACTAAATAAATTATGTTTTAATTTGTTTTTCATGTGTCTATTCTGAGCTATTTTGCATCTGTTTTTTAGGTTTCTGTTCTGAGCTACAGTGCTAAGTTTGCATCAAGTTTTTATGGTCCGTTTAGGGATGCTGCCAAATCAGCACCTTCATTTGGTGATCGTAGATGTTATCAGTTGCCACCTGGCTCCCGTGGACTAGCTAGCAGAGCTGTGGTAAGTAGACATCATTAGCTAGAAAAATAGATGGATTTATTGTAAATATTATAAGAAATATAAAAAAAAGTATGTGCATGTGAAAGTTAATGCTTGACAAGTCTGTGGTATTGCATCTTATCTCACTCTTTGAATGCCAAAGTCGACTTTTGTCACTTTCTACAAATTATCACATAATTTCTTCCATATTTTTTCAAAATTTTAATTAAGATAGGTTTTTGGTAAGAAATGATATTCATTTGATTCAAAATTAATACAGAAATTAGAGAAAAATATATAGAAATCTCAAAATATTGCACCAACCTTCTGGCGAGAAAAAATATGACAAAATATATAGTGTTAATAGTGGTCTTAGTGCTGCAGAAGTTTGTCATAGTTGATGAGATGAATCCTGATACTGTATAGGCTAAAAAAACAAAAAATGTAAATTTTGTTGATCAGGACTGATTATATTGCTTATTAAATGTACCGGTAATGTAATTCTATGTTTGGAAAATATTAAAACGGTCTGAAATAAAATAACTTTATAATATAACTGAGGTCGACCATAGACACGCGTCTGTCATTTACGAAAGTCCATGCACTACTAATGGAGCGAATACAGTATCGCCTAAAGACAGTGCCACTTTTTCCCTGGGACAAACTAGAAGTTATTTTGGTCTCTAATAATACTTCATGGCACCAATGATGACCACATGTTGCCTGTGACCCCCACATATATTCATTATTAGTCCCTGTTTGGACGAAGTCTGAAATTGGGAACTTAAGGATTGACCTCTGTGTGTTCATGCGCCTGTGCATCTTGACCTATATCTTAGACATGCCTGGACCAATTAAATTCAAACTACATACATTCATCATAAATAATATAATACATATGCACGACAATTTTTTTCACGATCTGATTCATGATGGCTGAATAGCGGCCATTTTTGTACTGAAAAATTATCAAAATATATGGATTTTGTTTAAACTTGGTACATACATGTACATTGGATATTATGAGACCTCAAATCAGATACAAAATGGCCAACTGGCGGCCATTTTGTTTTAATGAACGTGGTTCCAGTGCCATATTCTAACTTGCTTTAACTTATTATGTTCAAATTTTAAATATTCATTATACATAATCTTTTATTTTGGTTTGACGATCCGATTCAAAATGGCCGAATGGAATAAAAAATCAAGGATCTCGGTCGTTTATGGATGGGTTTTGTTCAAACTTGGAACATACATTAGACATTATATGTCCCTGATGCACAACATTTTGTGTTTTCAGATAGGATTAAAAATGGCTGACTGGTAGCCATTTAGTTTTACTGAATGCAAGTCTAGAACCATATCTCTTAGATGCTTTGACTGATTATGTTCAAATTTTATATATTAATTATACATCATGTCATAGATATGCAGATTTATTGGTTTCACGATCCAATTCAAAGTGACTGACAGGTGGCCATTTTGTTTTAATTAATGATGTTCCAGCACTATATCTCTCAATATGGACAAGTATTGTGCTGTGTTACCATAAACAAAACTATATAACTTAGATTTGATAATTAACAGAGACTGTGCCATGCATGACTTTTGTAATATTATGTTTTTGTATGTATCATGATATATTTTTAATATCAAAGGACCGGGATGTTTCTGAAGGTGCAGATTTCTTAATGGTAAAACCAGGCATGCCTTATTTGGACATTGTACGACAAACAAAAGACAAGGTAACAATGGTTTTTGATTTTCTAAATTTTGAGTTTTGCAATATTTGAATTATGAGAAGTTTGAGTTATTCCATGTTCAAATGAAGTAGAGTTTGAGTTATTCCAAGTGAGTTTAATATTCAGAGTTTGAGTTTTGAATTATTCAGTGTTTAATGTAGATGGAGTTTTAAAAATTAAAGAATGTTTATTCAGAGTGAATTATTGGAAGTCAGATTTATTTAAAGTAAGTTATGGGAAGACTGATTTTTTCGGAGTAAGTTATGTGAAGTTTGATTAATTCAGAGTGAGTTATGGAAAGTCTAATTTATTCAAAGTGAGTTATGGAAAGTCTTATTCATTCAGAGTGAGTTATGGGAAGTCTGATTTATTCAAAGTGAGTTATGGAAAGTCTGATTCATTCAGACTGAGTTATGGGAAGTCTGATTTATTTAAAGTGAGTTATGGAAAGTCTTATTTATTCAGAGTGAGTTATGGAAAGTCTTATTTATTCAGAGTGAGTTATGGGAAGTTTGAGTTATACAGAGTGGGCTATTAGAAAATTCAGTTAAACAGAGGTATATTTATTCATAGTGAGTTAAATAATTTTCCAATGCAAACCAATTATAAAATTTTATTCAAAATTCTTGTGTTGTTGAAAAATACTAAAATTGATTTTGGCTTTGCACATACAAGTACACAGAATATTTATCTTAGATATTTGGCAATATAATTTATGTACCTAATTTGATACTATTTATTTTTTTCAGTACCCATCAATACCCCTTGCTATATATCAAGTGTCAGGGGAGTATGCTATGCTGTACCATGGATGGACAGCTGGTGCCTTGGACTTGAAAAAAGCGGTCATGGAATCCATGATTAGTATGAGACGAGCAGGAGCCGATATCATTATTACGTACTATACACCAAGATTACTGGACTGGTTGCAAGAACAATAGCTGTCAAAATAAAACATCATTTCTCTCTTAAATTTCTACCAATCCCACAACAACCAGGAGAATTTGTTGTGTTATGGATATTCCATCAATACTGATGGTTTAGAGGGTGACACATTAATGGAAGAGCATAGCTTCATTCACTTACAATATTGATATTATTAATACAATATTATCCTTCTATATTATTATTAATAATTTTATAATGGACACTTATACCACACTCGACTGGTAATTAACCAACACAACAAAACTAAAAACTATGGCCCTGTCAATGTTACCATCTTCTATTACACAAATGATTTGAAAGTACATTGTATCTGTCGATATCTGAGCTTATGGTCGATAATGATTGGACATCTGTGGTTTATATTGGAACACCAATGCCCCAAGTTTTATTAAAATCTGATGAGTTTATTGAGATATCAGAGGAAAGGACATGCATATATACAGACAAATAAATATTGGATCATTGTTGAAGCTTTGTTTATCTGCAATTGTTTAACCTTTTCACCACCGGACTTTATCACCAAAATTTTCCTGCACCTTTTTTTCTCATATTATTCAATATTCCAGGAAAAGAACCCTAACTTTTGAGCCAACAGAAAAATTTTATTCAATTTTCTCCCAATCTTCTTAAGGAAATTGAAGACTATTAACAGGATCATTTTGTGAATTTGTTTTTCTTGATCAACTAAATGCTACGGTAGTTACAACTATGGTTCATCCTGGGCAGGTTAAATTGCCCTCAATGCTTTATGACTCTTAGGGGGGGGGGGGCAGATGTTTGACTATATCATGCTTTTTTAGCTCCGCTGTCGACTTTGTCAAGCGGGGCTTATCATACGAGTGATTGTCCATTGTTTCAAGATTAAGATGAATATTTTCGACTTCTTGATCAAAATCGTAAGTCCAATTGCTTTGATATTACAGGTAAATATTAGTACTATATGTGGTCCTCTCTCAGATGTTTATTTCATGATGATTTCTTCAATTCGTTAATTTTAGTGAATATTTTTGGTAAAAGTGATATTTTCGACTTCTTGTTGAAAACCAATTGCTTTGATATTACATATGTAAGTACTACATGTGGACCTCTCTCAGATTTGTTCATTTCATGATGAAATCTTTAAATCCCTAATTTAAGTGAATATTTTTGTAATTTTCGGTAAAAAGTGATATTTTCAACTTCTTGTTGAAAACAGCTAGTTCGATTACTTTGATACTATACATATTGTTCATTTTTGCTGGGAAAGGATTGACCAGCTTTGTTATTAGTTCAAGAAAATTGTTCAGCTTGGAATGTGTCTGAATCCCTCATTAGTATGCAAGAATGTAGGAATGTACCAAGAAAATTGTTTTTCTGGAGTAAATTGTGGTGTATTTTACTTAGGGAACTGATCATTACCACCCAGC